GCTCGGTCTGTCGACGGTCAAAAGTAAAATTACGCTCGGGCCAATTGCGAAAATTGCTCGTGAGAAATTGATCAAGGCTCTCCTCCGGTTACGATCCGCAGACGGCCTATTTCGTTGCGTGGAACCGTGAATGGCCGAGGTGCCATTTTAAATCGTCCGTGAGCCGCTGAACCCGGACGCCGGCGACTTTGTCGACGCGTTTATTTAATTTTATTACTGTTTGCGTCTGGGCGATCGCGAACACAATTGGTAATGGCGTCGTAATGGCGCGAAAGCGTTCGCACCCCTTCTTTTTCGAAGAAAACGCGCGTGAAGTCTTGTCGCGACAAATGGAGGCGATTCCTTTAAAGAAACTTGAATCGGACGCTTCGTTCCTTCGAAAATCTGGTTGTTCGGGAGGTCTTCTCTTATTTTTGAGGCTAAAAATAGGAAATTTTTACGGAGCACGAAGTTCGTAAAACGAGGTGACGTTTTATGGTAATTAGAACGTAATGCAGCGATTTTGCAGTATTTCTCTTGCACGCGGAGGCGTAACGAGGATCTCAAGGTGAACGTTGTCTCCGGGATTGTTTTTTTTTACCATTTGACGCGTTTCCGAAGAAACTAGTCGGGCTCGGAAAGATTAAATTCTAAACTTCCGAATTTTTTGCCCTTGTGACCACGATATTCTTTATCACCGGATTCCGGAATGCTCGTATAATGTTAAAGTTTCCTTCGCATTATCTGTGCGTGGCACGTCAAAACGATGGGAGATACGGAGGAAGACTGGGACAGAGACAAAGAGCGAGCGAGCGGGACGGAAGATATCTGAAAATAAGAACGAATGGTAATTAATCTTAGAGTAGCGTGATTAGATACGGAGTGACTGATTGGCTCGTCGGCGAAAACTGCAAAATGGACGATTACGAGTAAGGGGGCGTTTGGTGAGCCGCAAGTAGCTTAATTTCTTTCACTGTTCCAGTAATAAATATTCAACACGCGTTCTTTAATCCAAAAATATGATTTTCAACTCGTGCGCGAACTCGTTCTATTACTTAATACAACCAATAGTTTAATCAACGTATAATTAGAAAGAAAGAAATGTACGTAACTTTTGTACATATATACATCCATTATTCGACTATGAAGGGGTTAAAGCATGGGAGTCGATCGGAACGCTACAAAACACGTAAGAGGATAACAGCGCCGTTTCCCTAGGCAATCAATTCGCCGAACAAAACGGCATTATCCCGTAATGGCTTCAACGTGTCGCGGAATTCTGTCTCCGGCGAGCTTTACGACTCGGTCGAAAGCTGCGTCGCTCGCAGGTACAAGGCCAGATGACGAACAGGACTTTTTTACCTGTTTAGCGGGGTACGCCGGCGGTGCACGACAGTTACCTAAACACCATAAAAAATTCAGCGTACCCCGTTTTACGACTTTGACTCCTGCCGGAGAAAGTTGGCCGGGGTAAAAGGCATTTCAAGAAAGGGTTCACTTTCGGTACAATGGGCCACGAGTCTTTTCGGGGAAACTTTCTTTTTTTTCTCCCTCGTATCTCGGTCCCCGCTTTTCACTCTTTACTCGCCGGTTAGCTTCTTCAACCCCCGCAATAAACTGACCCATCTGGCTTTTTTTTCTCTTCTTCTTCGTCTTCTTCCGCCCTAACCCGGAAAAAGAGAAAGTGAGGAGAGAGTTAAGATTTGTGACCGCGTCGGAGGACACGCGGGAACACAGGAAAACTGCGCGTTGCGTAACGGAACGGGCACGTCCATGATAAACCCTCTTTTCCACCGGTGGAAACGGTCACGAAACGGGACCAGCCGGCGGCGGCGTTCGTGTCTCGCGGCGGATCGTGAAATACGCGACGGTTCCGCCGCGCCGACGAGCGGTCGTTCCCTCCTCGTGTCGATACTCGCGGGGACGATAAATTATTTCGCGAATTCTTGACGTATTTTCGGCGTGTCTCATCAGCGGCCGGTGGCGCAACGCCGAGACGGTCTCGTGATTAAGATTTCGCCGCGTATTTTTAACGGTTTTTTTGTCCCGGCCATGTGACTGATACCGTTTATCAAAGAATTTTAATTGAAATATACAGCGTCGAGCGTTGAGGAACTTTCGTACTGTCATCGAGTGCGCCGATGAGTAATCCACGCCGAGCGATCCTCTCGTAAACTTGATTTCAGTTTCTAACGTTAGTTCGATTTTTCGCTTGGCCCCGCGATGAACCGATCGACTCGGCCGTGCCAGGATCATTCGCAGGAATAATCGAAGCGTGAATAGTTAACCATCCGAGTCGATGTAACGAGACCACCGTGAGCTGTCCTCGTCAGATTGGCTCCCGATAAGTTAGCTTCGCTGAGAAAATGGAATATTTTGGAAACGCGTGATTATCTATCAATAGTAACAATACCAAAGGTTACGACGAATGAGAAAATGATAGAGTATAAACCACTTCGTATATTAAACCAACGGATGAATCTCGTCTTCAACATCGTCAATGATCTGTCTCGTTTTGGAACATACGCGTCGCTCTTAACTCCTTAAGAACCAGCCCCGAGTGTCTTTCAGGTGTGCTCGACTATCAGAGCACGCTGAACGGAGTTAAAAATCTTTCGAGAAACACGATAAAGCATTACTTTCGAAATTCCGTAAAGATTCTGCATCAATTGACCGCAAATAGAGCCTTAAGGAGTTAATTAGCATCCGGCCAGGCAACCCTCTGCACTCCTCGCACGCTTACACGGTAAGCGAACAGTCAAGTTCTCCCACGAACATTCTCATCACCGAGTCCACCCCTTAGATCTTTCACAGAACAATTGCAATGTAAATGTAGAGATTAGCTTGATCGATAAATTGGTAACCAGACCAAAGAGACTAGTAGATCCTCCGTGACATTGAAAACGATTGGTAATTAAGTCGGCCCTGAATTGACTGTGGTAGTGCATAGGGTTGAAAGGAAGGCTGGCCCATCATGAAAAAACTAACCTAGGAAAATCTGCGTTTCTGACGTTTCCAGGGCCGAACGGTTGTCCGAGGCGTCGGGGCCGGCAGACGTACACGCGGTTCCAGACCCTGGAGCTGGAGAAGGAGTTCCATTTCAACCACTACCTGACGCGACGGCGGCGAATAGAGATCGCGCACGCCCTGTGCCTGACCGAGCGCCAGATCAAAATCTGGTTCCAGAACCGGCGGATGAAGCTGAAGAAGGAGCTGAGGGCGGTGAAGGAGATCAACGAGCAGGCGAGGCGGGAGCGGGAGGAGCAGGACATGATGAAGAAGCAGCAGGCGGAGAAGCAGGCGAAGATGCAGCAGGAGCAGCAGAACGCGGCGCTCCAGCATCAGCAGCCGCACCACGTAAGCGGCCTGGACAAGACGCAGAGCGATCTGCTGAAGGCCGTCAGTAAGGTGCCCACATAGGAGACTTTGCTGGGCCGGTTGTCTTTCTTTTAAAGAAGAAACAAGAGACTGGACGCAGCGGCTGGACGCGCAGACATCGAGGAACGCGGAACGGAAGACGCCCGGTAAGGTCGTCCATCGCGCGCGCGGCTGCTCGGAGAGAGCCCCTCGAACCAGGAGACAACAATGGCGCGGGTTGTGTGTTCGCGCGCGCTC